ATTCTGTTCCATAAATAACGTTTATTTTAACGTAGTACAAAAAGGAAAATCCTGGAACAATCCGTTGTTCTCCCCCGCTTCCAGCTTGGGAGACGACTTTGTGTATCTGAGTCCCGGCCATGGCATACGCGACCAGCATGCGCGTGGGATCATTGATAACTCAAGCACGCCAGCGAATGATTGCGGGAAATCGATAAACTCGCCGCCCAATCAGGTGACGAGATAGCCCAATCACGAAATTTCCGCGCTAAGAGTGCATCGATGCTACTAGGCTATCCGCCACCGCCCTTCAGTTTAAACGACGTCAACCGTAATTCCAGTCAACCCTGCTGCACATATCATGTGTTTTTGCATAATACTAATGGTTCGGCCGTTGCAAGCAACGATGTCTACCGCGTGTCCCATGGAGTGAGCGCTGCACCGCTGGCCCGAGAAGAAAATGTTTACGATGGGCCGATCGGGAAGTTCAGATCCCAAGACCTAGGGTATAGGAGGCCTTATCATTGATTGTGGAAATGGACACCCGTAAATCCCCCATAAGACAAAATCTACAGTCCACCGAGAGTTAAGTGGGGTCCTTCGCCCTACCGTTGCCCTGTTTACAATATTAGTCTACATGCACAGTCTTTTGAGTGAGATGTAAACTTTTACCTAATCGCTGACAGCATGATGGGAACTGACATGGAAGGCAGAACGGGAAGGAAATTGGAGCTCCTATCACAACAGTGGAGGAGTCACTGCGCCGTCTGAACCATTCGTCGTTTTCAAAAACTTTCGAAAAGCTGACGGATGGGTATTCAATCCACTGGGGAGAAAGGCCATCACCGGCTCTGGCCATTCTTCCCTGGTCAGGCTAGAGCTGTCCACCAAGAGATCCTGCGAAGAGCAAAAACCTCGGTGTGACTTGATAAGAGGCTCAGTCGCCGCAACTTCCCAGGATCCGGTTCGCCAAGACAAGCCGAAGATGAAAGAGTTGACGTCCTGGGAGGTGCCATATTCTTTTTGGAGTTTGCCTTCCCAGAAGAACATCGGCATGAACGCCTCCCATGGATGGGGCTAGAGGCGGAGCGGGAGGAACGCGATGGTCCGTTTGCCCGATGTTGATTGTTACATTGTAATTCGCCTGTCACCGGTCAAGAATTAAAGAACTGACGTCCAGAGAAGGAGTTTCATGCCCTTTTGAATTGGTGAATCCGGATGAACAATCTGACACGCCCTTTTGGACGGGGTTGGAGGTGGAGAGAGAATGGCACGGTCTGCCTGCACGGTCTTGCCTGCTACGTCGGAGTCCGTCCGAGAGCTTACTCGAATTTTGAAGAAGGCGGTCGCTTACACTGACTGCGTAAAATGTCACTAATGGTGTAATTACACCAAGACGGACTGGCTTTCAGGTAGTGCCTATTTATTGTTTTTAAGTTTCGGTCTCATGCGTTTTAATAACCTCTACTCCGCCTCTTGCATCGTTGGAAAAACGGAAGCTACAGTTAAAGTGACAGTTCCGCTCCCAGTTTGTATGACCATATGCCTCTATCTATAGATAGAGGCATAATCTGCTCTCTGATAAAATAAGTTTAGACAGGTAAAAAAGTTTTTTCGTTTGAGTTCCCCTGCAGTAATTCAGGCAAAACCTGCGTTGCCTTTTTGTTGATGAGGAAACAACCTACGACCAATAAATAAAGGGGACATCTAGATGATCGAATACGAACATGAATACACTATGGGAATCTGGATTTATATTAAGCTTTCTATATTTCCGCTTCTAGCATGACCAGTGGATGACTTCAGCCGGTCTTGGTCTTTCTCTCCAGTGGATCACGTTTTATTTCAAATGCAAGTAACGTCAAAGGCTCCGAGTCAAAAGGTAAGTTTCCTTTTGATCAGATTAAAGCCCAAATCGTCAAGAGTTATTTGCAGCCTAGACGCAATATTTTCTTGCTATCACGTAGGTATGACTGAATATCTAGTCTAAGAGTGAAAATAATCAAGTTCCTCCAACGGCAAACTGATTTTTTCGCCGTACAAGAGTAGCATAAACTATTTGCTGGGTCTTTGTATTTGCCAAAGCATGACAGTCATGTTGAGGTTTCGCACCTGCTCATATGGAACCCTTATCTTAAACGTCTTGAAAGTGCATTGAAAGACGTCAGCTAGTCAATGCAATATTTTAGGAAATTAGAGAATTCGAATTACTTTTTTTCCCGGTTATTAAGTTAAAACAGGCGTAGGCATCAGAGTTTACTGGAAGGCCGTTTGGAGTCCAGCAGAGTGACTAGTATTAAGGTGATGTTTTAAGATGAAAGACTGGAGATTTTCTAGGCAACGCTCAACTGGCTTGTCTGTCAGTTGCCTTCCGATTACTTATTTGGACACTGCGTAGTCTGACTTATGCAAACAACTAGGCCACGTAGTCAGTCCCAACTTGCCCCGATAATCCCCCTGTACAAAGCATTTGCCTTATTGTTTTGCACCGAGTTTCTTTACATCTCCAGCTTGCTGTATACTCCCTATTCGTAGTCGCAGGGATGAAAACCAGTTGATGAGCCGTCGCAAAATTTATTAATATTGGTAAATTATGCTGGTCGCATCTGCATTGAAACTATAAACTGCATAAAATCGATCAACTAGTAATACTGAGGATCGGCAAATAATTTATCTAAGACAAAGGTAGTACCTTTAAGGGTCGCATTAAAAATTGGCTGGAAAACAGATGAATTCCATATGGCTGCATTTCCAACCGAATAACCGAGAGTTATTGGTTGATGTTTCATGTAGAGTGATGTCGATTAGTGTGCACTCTCTCCTTAGTAACTTGGAAAATTCTCACACATTTGTTGAGCTTGAATCGATAAAAGCTGCTTCCTGGAGGCTTACCGACTGAGCAGCCAGCGCAACTGTCCCTATTATACTTTATTCAGACAAATCCCTGGAAGTGTATTCGTTTCAGTCCGGATTCAGCACTTTACATACAATCAACAGTAGAACGCATTTTTAAACTGGCATGACGCGCTACTACGTAGCCATGGTTTGAAAGCCTCCCAACTGGCAGGATAACTTCTTTCTCCTCCGGACCGAACGTTAGCTTGTGAGACCTTCTGGATATGCCTTTTACGGTTCATGGCATGTCCTCCCTCATTTTTGATGCGGGGTTCGCGTGAAGTTTGGGGGCCAAGCCAACCAAGGCATCCGTAGGCCTTCCCAATCACTATGTCCACGTTTATTTGGCATACCGCCAGAATATGGCGACTGAGGTAGATACTTAACAGGTCCTTCTCAATATAAACCAAGTCACGCTCTCAGAGTCAATTATGGTCTTTGTCGCTCACGGAAGAAGGACTTCGGCTACTGGTCATGCGGGCAGACTTCCCCAGATGAGTTCACCCGAGGGCAAGACCTCATTTATTTCGGACACGCACGCTGTGTGGTTGGTTAATAAGCAAATTATTGTAGGAAGAGCGTCCGCCGACCAGGTGCTCGTCCCGTTGCGCCTTGGGGCCACTTTAAAGCCCTCGCGGACAGTCACATGACGGCCCGTAATATATATAAATCAAGGCCAGCAGGAAACGCCAGCGAACGACTCTGATGATGGAAACGAGAGAGTTTCCGAAACGTCAGTTCGAATACAATCTGGTCCATGAGATCACTTTCTCTTCTTCGTCCTCTTCGGGGGACGATAAACATGGTAATATATCTGGACCTCGGATCTTCACGCATATATTGATATATATATATATATATATATATATATATATATATATATGCATGTCAAGTAGGCCTCTGACCCTCACTGTTGTGATTAGGATCTCACTGGATCCCATTCTGTCCCCCCGCCAGCTTGCTACTGGCGACAACGAACGCTGTGTCATAGGACACGTACCACGTATAATACATAAACAGACCGCTAAAAGTGCAGCAGGCCAGACGCAGACAGCTGCTTCACGATTTTTAGGGACTAGGGACAAACATATGAGAGACAGGGACAGTCATTTCTAGCTTTTTAGTCGACGGCATTCAGCCATACCCGATATCAATTATGGCTGTCCGGATTATTCAACATTTTAAAGTGTAACGCCCTGACATTGGGTCGCGACTTTAGTTTAAGCTTCAAGATGTAGCGGAACGAGCACTTCCGCACCCTGATCGGCGGATGCACTTCACAAGGTAGCTAATAATCCGTATCACAACCGACAAAACAACGGACCCGTAGCTCCATGGTAGATCACCAGATTTTAAAAAACCCAGTGGTCCCAGGGTTCAGGTTCAAATCCAAAGGATTGCGTACGAGTGACCGACAATGACTAGTGAATCTAAGATGGCCATCCCAGACTCCTCCGTTTTTGTTGGTACTCTTCCTCTGAGAACACATCTACAGAACACGCACTGAGGCAGATCATGGCTTCTCTGACGTTTGTATAGGACTAGGCTTTAACAACAACGCACTCCTGAACCCTGAACATTCTAGGCTATTTCTCAGAAGAGTAGCAGCCTGTCAGGAAGGGCCGAAGTCTTTCCTATGGTCTAGAGACAAACATCTTGAGAAATCACCAAACGACACATGAAAGGCCCCGCGTTTAGTTATTTTAAAATTTTAGGGCCTACTGCAGCACACCCAATGCTACATAACGCGAGGACTGACAGTGAAAAAGGGAATTGCGGGCACTCCGCCGGGTTTTCCCCAAGTCAGTACAACCACCGCAGAGCTTTCAGTCCTTTCTAAGCAACAATGGAATGAACGATTAAATCATTTGGGAGCAAGAGCTAGGAGTCAAGTACTGACTCGGCGAAAACATTAGTTCCAGCAAAAGAACCTTGTTGGAGTGGGCGGTTGCTTATATTTTGGGACTTTGCCTAAGATAGAGGAGAAAATGCTTCGGAGAAATGCAACTTCCTCAGGCGCATCGAGAAGACACGTTGGTGTTAGCCGTATCTCTTTTAAGTCGCTGTTCAGTAAGTAATCACTAAGTGCTTATGAAACATTGTACAACCTTTTCCCCCTAAGCACCTTATCTTTCATTTTCTCCGCCGGTCTTTTCCTCATCTTCTGTCTTGATGTGCCTCTTGTTGACGCCAGCCACGAAGGCTTCCTCCCAATCCTCGCCTTCAACTCGGACATTTGGCGAGGAAGGGTAGTCGCCGTAGGGCATGGCCGCCACCGACTCCAGCCACTCTTCACTGGTCAGGCTAGCGTCGTCTTCCAGGAGATCCTGGAAAGTGTTGCAGCTCTGATCTGCCCTGATAGCAGTCTCAGCTACTTCCGCTTCCCAGGATTCGCCTCGCCATGACCAGTCGAAGATGGAGGAGCTGGCATCCAAGGAGGTGTCATCTTCTATTCTGAGTTTGCCTTTCCAGAAGAACGGCATTGACACCTTCCTTGGATGAGGCTGGAAGCGCAGAGGGAGGAACGCGGTGGTCCGTTTGGCTGGTGTCCACTGCTGCATTGGACTTCTCCTGTGGAGTAGGATGACAAAATTGGACCCAGAATACGGTTGAAAAGTGGGGGCAGACGACTAGGAACAATTCGTCCTTGCAAACTCGTTACACATGTCTTGCATTCTTCTTGTACGCCGAATTCATTATGCTTCCTTATAAGAACTGGACGTTTATGAAATCTTTGTAATTTTTTTTAAGAGAAAGACATCTACCGATACTTTGCCGTGCATTGTCTTTATTGGTCATTTTTGTCACGCATGATTCTTTTCGATTCTGTCCTTCAACATGGATAGTTAGTGAAGAGCAGGAGTCATCGTAGAGAAAGATTGGTGTCGACTGCGGCAACCTTTATTGGACAGCTCTGGGCTGCCTTGACGAGTCTCAGACACTTCCACTTCCCAGGATTCGCTGACACAGGACAAAAAATGATATCCCAGCAGTTAGTATACGCTTTTCTGAGTTAGCGCCCTTGGAAGAACAGCTCTATGGACGTGACAATTCGCCTACAGGGTATTGTCTCCTGTACCTTGGTCTGCCTGCACGATGACTCGAATTTTTGCGGTCGGTGAAGACGATATATTAGATAAATAGGTGTTTGGGAAGGTTTTTGATAATTCGATCTTCCTCAACTCCGAAAAAGTCGGCGACCTTGGTAGGATTCGAACCCACAACAGCAAGCTATAGCCAACACTTTAACCACCTGAGCTACGAGGCCCCACCGAAACTGCCGAGTTTTTCACGGGTGGGTCAGATTGAGAGGTATGTTAGTCTCAGATTGGCAAAGTTGAGAGATCCGGGAAGGTTATTATTATGGTTATTATTATTATTAGAAGATGAAGAAGAAGAAGAAGGTAGGCTCTCCGGAACAGGTTTATTTAACTGCTGACGTTTCAAACAGCTGGGTCGGCTCTTCATTGTCAGAGCGTAAAATGCCATAAATCGATCAGAAATTTAATTTAAAGTGGCATGTTGTGTTGGTCGGCCTCATGCTTTCGTATGGCAACGGGAATGGGCGAGCTAAACAAGAAAAATAAAACAAAAAGCTTTGATGACATGGGAAGTAATTATTGTTTTCAGTGTGGTATCTGCAACGGCCTGAAAATAGATGCCAAAATAAAATCGCATATGACATTATCTCCAGTCTACCGGCAGTTAAGTGGGGTCCTACCGTTGCCGAAGAATTTAGTGCATCTTCATGTCAGCAAAGTCCTTCTCAGCCTGTGAATGAACTGTAATAAATTCAGCAAAACTTGGACACCTAGTTTGTTGGAAGTGTAAAAAAGTTGACGCGTAATTCCCTGGAGCCGATTGTCAAGTACGCTGAATGCCAGCATTTTCCATAGGCAATTTCACAAGCCTTTTTTCTCAAATAGTGGTACTTGTATTTCAAGTGTGCCCTACACTAACCAGCCAATAGAATTTCCTTTTGCCGTACTTCCAAAGAGGTACCATTGGAAGGAGCCAGAATGTACATATGTTCTCGATGTTCTAGGATAGCGTACGTACACTCGCAAGGGTCAAGGCCCATCAGTCGATCCCCTTACCCGGCAAGTGGAGTTTCTGCCTAGCTGCCCCGTTTGCCTAACGCTTCAAGGGAGTCTGGATGTGATTGAGGAGTATTCCTGGCAAAGGGAAAGGAGGCTGGGGTGGTTATTTCTGGTTTATTGCCCGTCCTCAGTCCAGCCACACTCCGAAATCAGGCCAAGAAAACCAGAAAAGCTCCTTTGCATCAGATAATCAGGGTGACTCGGTAGGCTTCTGTAGTGGCAAAATGGTTGACAACACAAAGATTCCCAAGTCAAAAGTCAGAGAGACAGAGACGGTTGGATAAACTATCGAGGCATGAGGACGTGCACGCGCCTCGGCAGGCAGAGTCAGCAATCCGTCTCACCAGCTGAGTTACAGCCGTTGAAGTTTTTAGTTCAGGCGCGAGGCGCGTGCGTGGGCTTGGGCTTTGTCCGCTCGCAACCAATCAGCAATGGACACAGCAATAACTGGCCTCGAGCTCTCACAGTGCTGGTGTCAAGCCACTCTCGACCCAAGAAATCGACTGACGGGGGCGTTAGGCTGAATGAATTTAGAATCGGTGAGCGGCTGCATTGTCGATCGCAAGGGCTGACTACCGCACGTCTCTCCCACTTGACTGGAATTTATAGACAATGGTCTGAAAAATTACGTCCTTTTCTGCCATATTAATGAAATTCAAGTCAGCGGATCGGACTATCAATCGAAACTTGCTTACGTTTACGCTGTTACCGCCTCTAGTTGAACCGAGCATCGATGCAGGGAAAATCGAACTGCTCAGACGCAGCGTCGCACCCCGCAGGGTATTGACTGAAGACCAACTTCGAATATTTGGGCGCCAATTTCTTGTAAAAGGCAAAACAAAATGGAAGTACCTTTCCTGCAAAACGGAGCAGATCGTCTCCTTCGCTCAAGGGCAGTTTTCAGCCTAAAACGATCGCTTCTCAACCGTTTGAGGCTATGATTGTGTAAGTTAGGCAGCATACCGACTGCAGGTCAGATGGACCTGAGGTCATATGAAACGACCAATATGTATGGCTAGTGCCTACTCAAATAGCTATAGTAGGCATTCTTTCTAGGAAACATATGTTTGGGGACCCTCCCCCGATTGTTACCAACTCTGTTACCAACGTTCCAGCTTTCACCTGCACGATTATTGAGACTCGGCTTGATAAGTCGGACATGTGAAAAGCGACGTCTATCTCTGAACACAGTGTCTGGTAGGCCGCGGCCGAGTCAGCTCTTCGGTCAGTCGGAGGCTGTGTCCCGCATGCTCCCGTTGGACTTATCAAGTCAAAAATGCGCTGGGTGCAGTAAATCCAAGAGTAGATTAATTTTACGTCTACAGGTCGTTTGTTGCCAGGCCACCGGGCGCAGTTATCATTACAGTCTTCGAAATTTACTCCTGACTATCAGGTTTTAGAAGGTGGACTTGATTGGGAAACCATGAATGAATTTATTGTTTCTCATCAGAATGCACTTGCACTTCGCAAATATGTGGAACAGTAGAAGCTAACTTCGGATGACATGCGTCTCTTTTTTACATTCTAACGTTTTGCCAGAGTCACCACAATCCCATTTTGGTACTATTTTAGAGATAGACTTGTAGTGGCCCTACTCCGAGCCCCTGCCGCCTCTCAGACGTGTTTACAAGTGCGCACCAGGCCTGCCTGGCATTCGCTCACTCGGCTCTCCAACTGGCCAATCAGATTCAAGGCCGAACCAGGCGTGTCCTGGCTTAAGACGCTGCGACGCACTTCCTAGGACTCTCCTCTCTCTTCCATTCGGGACCGAGCCTGAAGGTCGTGGTAGTTAGGGTCTTTCGCTCTCGGCTTAGGCTTCTGCAATAGGCTAATTGAACGCGGGGTCGGATGCATCGCTGGTGGCCAGCGGACATATGGAGTAGGACAGGACTAGATTCTGACGATTTTAGAAAACACCGATAGGACTGTAAGAACATAAGATGTTTTGGTACAAGAATATCAAAGGCGCCTAGTACAAATGGTTTGTAAGTAATTAGCGCCTTTAACATTCTTGGCGACTTTTTACCCGTGATCGTCGTCAGCAGACACATTAAAAGAGGACCAGGTAGAAAGGGTAAATTGCCGAAATGGTGTCTCATTGCAAAAAATTGGTCGATCACGCTGGCCTGAGGACGGGTCTGAACGGCGAAGTGAATGTTTTGTTGTCTACTCATGAATGCTGCAACACCGAACTGGGCTGTGCATGTGATTCTAGTAATCATGGTAACTTTTGTACAAGCGATTATTTCAGAGCAACGGCCGTCTTTCGTGCATCATAACCGAATAAGAGCACATTTAGCGAAATCAGAACATTAGAATTTCACTCCGTTTTGACTGGAAATTCCGTTCCCGAACAAGAAATAGTGGGTCAGAAGCCTGTTAGTCTGTTCGGTTCGAATAAAGTCAACCAAAAACTACAATGTTTTGGGAATGCGACATCCTTCGCCGTATTGGAAATTGAGATTTCCAGGCATTATGATAGCGATCTCTTCACAAACCAGATGGCTTCTGAATACTTTCACTTTCACGTCTTCCCACAGACTTCTAATCACCGCGTTCACTCTTTAAAGCGTAATTGGCGCTCTCATGACCCAGGAAACTGATGGTCTCGGCTAGTATGGTCCAGTACAGTGGGTGTTCAATAGGCGAGATAGGCCTTTGTAAAAAAGAGAATGGATTCTCCAATGCTAATAGAAGATGTTGATCGAAATGTGACTGTCCACAGCCTATATCACCACAGAATACTCACTTAGCGCCTTTCAGAAGGTGGACTAGTGACTATGAAGTCACAAGGAAAATCAAATCACCGGATGGCGTCAAGTTCTGCTACTTTGGTATAATCGAACAATATCATATTACGTAGCAGAAGTGTATTACTCCATAACGGTCATGTTACTCAATGAGGAATTTCTGTACACTTGGGTGGACGAGAATTCGTCAGCATTGTTGCTACCACAGCAATGACTTTACAGCTCAATAAACTGTGTCCATTCGAATCGATCTTCACGGTTCTCACTGGACAGCATGTCACTGCCAAGGATCGCTCACGGGATGAGAACTAGTGTCCGGATAGCCGCAGCCTTGACGTTATGAGCCTATTAATGACGTGTTTCTAGAAAGTCGTCAACTTTCAAACGATCTTCCACATCACGAAACTGGCTACCGAACCTTTTCACTTTCTCCTGTAGCAACTATTGTAAGCCGAAGGTTTACGTAGGAGTTCAAGCTGCCAAACTGACAGAGTTTTGCGTGCAGTGCCTGTGGGTTTGTGTATGTATCTATTCTAGTGAGTAGGGGTTGTTTGGCGAGATAATTTGTCAGAAGATTTTCAGGTGATGGTCAAGTTCTGCTTCCGCTCTTTTCGGTTGGGAATGATTTAAATTACCACTCTTCACCCTTGTGCGGGTCTGTAACTAGGGTTTCGCATCACCAAATCAGTCATTTGCCGTTTCGATACTGCCGTAGAAATACTGCATTACAAGATCTAAGATTTCAAAATCAAAGTTCTGGCGCCTATGCGTCGATCACATGTTTGTAATGCAAAGGTAATGCAAAACCGCTAACTGCCTTTTCTCGGTGTGATGACGGCAAGGTAGGCACAAGAAAACTGTCCCCCAAACAAAATCACAAAATCGCATAATTCCAGACTCTTAAAAGCGTCCACGTAGGGCTGCACAAGCGAGGATATTGGAAATCAATATACACAGGATCCGAAACGCCCCGCAGTGCACCACACGCAAAATCCAGCGAGATCAGGAAAATCAATGTATACGCCACGAGGGATGACTAAGTGAAAAGCTTCATCGTACGGCGGCCGCGGACCAGCTCCGAACAGGAGACTCGCTCATGTACAGTAGGCGTGCTAACTCATGAAATGTCATGAGTTAGCACAAGAAAATCCCTATAACGCAAAATCCGCCCAAACCCTGTTCCTCAAAGTCTTACGACAGTGAAAAACGACTGTTCTTAAAAAGAAGACATGGTTGGGTTCATAAATTAATATTTACTAACGTAAAAATAAATACTTTTAACTTAAAACTAAGACTACGGAAAACGCCTGTATTAAAAATCGCCTATATGGGGCCAACTATAAGGTTGCATAATGAAGGGGAACGCATGAAACGGGGAAAAATAATGAAAAATAATATCAAGTACAAAAGATCAGCACTTTGTTGATTGTCCATTTGCATTTATCACAACAGACAGTCTCAGACTTGGAGATAGACAGGTTGTCTATAGTTGATTGTCCAGTGTGATTATCTATCACAGTGTTAGGTTTTTCTTGCATTGAAGGTTTCCTGTTCGCCTTGTGCCAATTTCTTTTGATAAGAGCGAAAAGAGTTTCAATTGGATTGACATCCGGGTTGTTGGCAGGGATAAAAATCTACTGAAGGTCACAATCGGAGAGGCTGGCTGTTGTCTCAAAAGTCAGATTACTGTTGAAAGCATTATAAGATCCATACTTACTTAGAACGATGGACAGGAGCATTATGGTGTAAAATTATGGAATCCTGACGCCGTGCTCCGCATTATCACATTTTCGAAGCTAGCAGAATGCATCGCGACTGGCCTGAGCTTGAGCACTGTTCACCGACTTGCCGCCACATGCGATTTTTTAGTCACATACTGTGAAGACTACATAAACCAGGACAATCAGGCGATCGCCGTCTACGAATAAGTCCTGGGCACTGAACCTTCATTAAAGCACATAAATGTAGGAGCTCAGATAGACTGTGAGACGATGAGGTCGATTTCTTTAGCCCGTTCTTTGTATTATGGACATCGAGCGCGATTTTGGCTGCGTTAGGGCACGGGTAATTTTCACGAGTCAAAGCATGACGATCTGGAAGCTGCAAGCGTTGTTAAACCCTGGTGTTAATTCGACTAATTGTCGCTTGGAGCTTCCAACATTCTACCCGACTTTGCGCACCAACCCCAAACGACGACAACGGAAAGTGGTAGATGGGTGCTCATCGGTCGCATTAAGGACTTAGTCTTCCCATCGTGCTTTGGGGTTGACTCTCGAGCCCGACATCAGCCGCTCAGCGACGCGCAACATGGGCATGATAACATTTCCGAAGAAGAAAAGGTAGACTGGAATAACCATTTCTGACTTGTTCGCCGTCATCAGGCAGCCACGCCCAACCCTCCAGATGTACAACCCCCGAGACTTAATTCCACGATCTGTTGGTTAGAAGTCCAACGCCTCTAACCATTGGGCCACGGCTGGTTAACCTGCCATTCTGCCTATCATACTAGCCGTTGAAAGGCCGTTGGCGGGGCTTAAGGGAGAGCCCCAAGGCACAACGGGACGAGTGACTTCCGTGCCGCGATCGGTGCGCGCCCCTCTATACCGCTGGTAACATTCCACGATCTCAACCGACAGAACAACGAGCCCGTGGCTCAATGATTAGGACGTTTAATTCTCAACCAACTGGTCGCGGGATCGAGCCTCAGGGGTTGCACACCTTGGTATTAGGCGTGGCTAGCTGAGGACGGAGAAGAAGCCAGAAATGACCTTCCCAGTCTCCCTCGTCTTTGTCACTTACAATTAAAAGTGAACCGATCGAGATTCGCTGAATAACGAGTCAACTGCAGGTACCTATCACTCAAGGGACACATTACGGAACCACATGAAGTGACAACTGTCCAGACCGGGGCAGCTACAAAAGAGTGCGTCAGCACACGTATACACAAAACGAGATGCCAGCCCACTTACTTATCTAACATGTCTCCAAATAACGAGGGACTAGGTGTGGCCGTGAATATGAACTCCCCCAGACCAAGAGAAAACAGAACTCGCCGACGATGTTCCCTCCATCAAGTTCCTTTAAACTTTCGACGGGTGCCAAATAAGCGGCCGCAGGTATCACGGCTACCTTACGTACTATTGTTTGTTCAGTAGGTGTGCTTGTGGTATTTTTTGCTGGCGCGCAGGTAACGGCCACATTCACTGTCGGTAGGCATGGAGATCAAATGGTGGAAGTAACGATGCTTACTTACACGTCTTCTGTTTGTGCCTCCGTTGGTTAACTTATCCAGTCACCGTTGGTTGGCTCTCTTCAATTGGATACGCTTCTGCCCAATGTCGTAGGAAAGTTTCCCAGCAGGCTGCCATGTTGTCGGCCCTTAGGTCGAACCAGAGGCGGTACTGAACCTCATCTAGGTGGGCCCACACTGCCCTGTTACAGACAGGTCCAGACTCCTGCAGCTTCCTCTTTAACCTGCTCCAGTAGGCCTCTATGGCGTTCGTATGCCGTCCTGTTGTGGCATTCACGAACCCCTACGGTGGTTGAGAGTGTAGTGCGTATAACCTTCCGACGGTAGGCGGGTGCAACCCTTCCACTCATCGGTTACGATAACACTGCCAGCAGCCACCCACTTCCTTATGAAAGGCCTTCGGGCCTCCCAGCGCGGTTGTTAATCTGCTCAAATAGGGCTTTCCGTCTGCGTGTATCGTACATACCAACGACGCACAACTGCCGCCCCGGTCGTCCCTAGTTATACTTGCGGCGACTTATGAGCGTCTCGTCTATCTGTACTTCCACGCCTGGTCCCCCAATTTGGGTTACGGCGGATAGATGTGCGTGTGAGCAGGCCCCGCGGCAAATGCCGTACCATTTCATGGCAGTATTTCTACTGACACCTACACTTGCCGCACACCGCTTGGCCCGCACACCTTCGACAAACTTGTAGCATATACGCATCAGTGTCTGCAGACTGAGCTTACTACCAACGAACATTGACCCCGTCCGCAGGCACCGCTTCCGTCTGCCGTGTCCACAACGGAATGCATAACCGTCCGTATGCTGCCGCAACACTTGCATCTGCACAGTACGCCGACATCGCCATGCTAAGGTGGTGGCCAGCAACCTCCACCGCTGCAGGTACTGAACGACACCTGCTGACTGAAGGACGGCTTGTATTTCATCCTCGGCCGTCGGTATAATCCGCTGAGGACCGCGCCTACGTCCGCCTGCATTCGGGTTACGTAGGCCTGCAAACTGCTCCCACCATGGATACTTACAAATCCCGTAAAACAGCGACCTTACACACAGCGGCCGCCAAGTTCGGGAGTTCGCCGACTTGCTGTAGGTTGGTGCGGTGGCGTTGGAGTACGTCCAGGTATCCTAAACATTTTTCGCGTTATGCGTATTAGACGGTGCATGCGGTGGAGACCACCGATATAACAAATAGGGAGGGGGTGAGGAGGGGGTCAGTAAGGGGCCGGGAAGTGACGCAATTGTCATAAGCACTTTATTCAAATACTCTTACCCAACCGAAGTACATCGCTGTCCCCTCGCGTCCCCCTTGCGCATCGTCTGTTTCCCGTCCATCTGATGCACACCACTTTCAAGTGTGGCGCCAACGATCCCATTGGTTAGCCGCTTGGCGGTTCAGTTTTACTCGCCCCGGCCCCCAATCACATCACGCCCCAGGCCAGCCCACCTTCGATTGGGCATTGCCTACGGTTTTCCCTATTTGCGCGCCATCCTGCGGTATTTTTGACTTCATTAAAACAAATAATTATTTTTCTGCGATTTCCAACATTTTTCGGAATCCAGCTGTCAATCCAGTGCCCTCTGCCGGTTACCCCGCCCGTTCTTCCCCTCAAAACCGCCATCCCGTTGTACCCGACCCACCTAGAGAAGTTTTCTCACTGTGGCCGCCTGTTGGGCCTCGGCCAAACTTTCACTGTTTAAATTGATTTCGGAATTCTTACACACGACTCAACTAGCTCGATGCAGTCCTCAATGCTATCGACATGCATTAATCATTTTTGACATCAGTGCATTTAGTAGGATTCTTTCAGCCTTCGCTTTGTTTCATTTAAAGGACGGTCTTCAAGCCTGGAATTGCTGTCTAAGAAACCGAATGCAGATTTTAGAAAGATCCACTGAAATTGTGCCGAACTAAGGTTTCTTAAGTAGCCAAACTTAATGTCTGCCCTAAATCTGCTCGTTTTCTGATTCAGGCAGAAGAACGTTTATCTTGCTTTAACCTTAAAATGCTGAAAAGTTTAGTCTATAACGTCGATTGTGGTCAATTTTTTCTTCGTGACAGGGATGGAAGCCCAAGAAACAGTTTTTCCAACCAGCCAACGCTCCGCACTATTCTGGTAGCAAGTTTCGGGAAGATGGAGCAAATAAATTGCCGCGATGGTTGTGGCGGAGACAGTCGGTGTCTTCAGGAAGACTCTTGATAATCGCCGACCTAAAAGTACGACTGATCTGAGATGATGCACCTTACGATCGCGTGACCACTCATCTTCCAACAAAAATGGCTTGACGTAAACAAACACACCTACTATAGGCATTTTAGTAAAACTTTATATGTTCATATAGTTCAGCGGAAGTTTGTGACAGTAGTAGGCTCACATCTCCCCCTTCATGGCTTGACTACAAAAATTGCTCATTTGATACCGCAGTCTCACAATCTCTGACGATGGCCTCCTGTACGAGACCGAAAGCTCAGATTAATATACCTACTTTTCCAGGGATCGTTTCTTCATCTTCTTCACAACAAGAACCTGGGATTCGCATATTCACTTCCATCCGTAGCAGTCTGTAATTTAGTAGTTGCCCCTATATGGAACTACAAAACACCCTCATTTGAGTTACCAGGACAAGCGCCTATCCTAATATGAGACCTCCTCTGACGATGACAGATACTGACCCAACAGGAATCACTCAATTCAAATAGACAGAAAATTTTGCAAAATAATTGCTTTTTCCGGAGATAAGATTTTCAGTTTCATTTCCTAACTTCAGATAATGATGCAAGTGTTATTTATGAAAGATCAAATAATAATGGATATTTCCTGCGCGCAAACCAGGTTTGGATAAAAAAAAACTATCCGAGTCCATCTGACACCCTCCCATTTTTCTCATTATTTTCCAATTCAAGTCACAATCCCCACGACTAAAGGGAATGCACAGTGGTTGCTCGTGGTGCTTCATGCGCCTTGCCTGCATCTGAGCATACCAGAGTAACTGTTCCTGACTCACCTTTACGTCTGTTGAGCTTCGTACTAATAGCCTGCAAGTCAGTGTAACCGGTGACCTATAAGATGACAAAATGGTCCATTACAAAAAATATTATTTGAAGGTTTGTCTTGTAAAAAATCCCCGACAGAAGTCCTCCGTTAGTTTTGAATTAAAGCTTCAGTGTGGAATTGGCGGTCATTATTCAGTGCAAGCACACATACGGCTACTAACTAGTGCAGGCAGGACGTATGCGTAAGTAGCGAAAGTTAGGTTCGCGTGAGGGTAAATCAAAGAAGACCACTGAGGAGGTGGGGGGAGGGGGTGACAATCCTGTAAAAGATGAGCGGCTACTGGCAGCGACAACAGATTTTGGCTACATTCAACCATCAAAGCGCGCGCGGTCTTGCGGCAGCGGCGAGCCTGAGTAGGGCGCTCACTAATTCCTAGGGTTGCACCATCAAGCCTTGTTGGGTTCTTGCATGTTTCGTTTTTCTGTGCGCAGAGCTACAGGAGGGATATTGCACAACAATCATTCGGCGAACGTGTCATGCCATCCTACAGCTAGGACTAAAGACAAGGCTTCTTTTTTTCCCAGTCCTCTTTCTGTACTGCCCTAACTACAGATACCACTTTTCTGACTGCAATTGGGAGTCAAGAATGACTGGAGTTAACTTCATTGGGCGGCTCGGGTGTCATCTTGGAGCTTCCGATCGCCGATGGTTGGAGATGTCAGATATTTTCTCTTTATACAGTGGGTGGGCTAACTCGTGAAATTTCAACCGAAATTCCGAAATGCGTTTTCGTTTCGAAAAGATTAATTACATAGGGTTCTAAAACTAGTCATCTTGCAACATAATCCTATAATATTTCAGTTACCTCAGGGTGCCGGCATTCGAATGAACTTCCTTCCGGTTGCATGCACGAACGACACTCTGTTAAAAATGACTACCTTCGTATGATGAATGTTTCTCATTGATTTTTGATGTCCCAAAAAGTCCAGTTATATTTCATGGAGAATATGCATAAAAATATTTATTCTTTTGCTCATTCGGCAGATAACTACGTCTTCTTATAAATTTATGATCGAAGGAAGGACATAAATGGGTTTTAAAAAAGTTCCTAATTGTAAGACTTTTAAGTACCGTGAAATGACCGTTCATAAATCGTTATATCTCTGCATTTACCAATGTGGCTTGTAAAGTTAACAATATGGATCAAATCCACTGCTTAATTTTATGAGCCCTATATATTCCCCCTTTATTACCGTAGAGAAATGTGGGGTTTTCCGTACGCGGAAAATAGACGGCTTGTATTTTGGAGACCCTGAATCCAAGTGTGACGGAATAGCTGGTTTAAAATTATTCGAGAATCCGAAAACTTTTTTAAAATCGAATTATGTCCCTCCTTTGAGTAAAAATGTAGAAGAAGACGTAATGATCTGCCGAATGAGCAAAAGGACAAATATTTTTATGCATATTCTCCATGAAATATAAGTGGACTTTTAGGGACATCGAAAATCAATGAGAAACATTCATCCTACAAAGGTAGTCATTTTTAACAGAGTGTCATTTGTGCATGCAACCGGAAGGAGGTTCATTCGAATGCCGGCACCCTGAGGTAACTGAAATATTATAGGATTATGTTGCAAGGTGACTAGTTTTACAACCCTTTGTAATTAATCTTTTAGAAACGAGAACGCATTTCGGAATCTCGGTCGACATCTCATGAGTTAGTCCACCTACTGTATGTGCACGCGCAGCCAAAGTTCTCCTTAAAAGTTAAGATGTTGCTTCACCAACCAACACAGAGCTCCGTCTACCTCTGGTCATCATAAGGTGTTATAAAAATTTTTTAACAAAACCACCTCTTTATCTAGTGACTCCATCGTCAATTGGGACTTTTAGATACTGTAATTTCGAGGGCTCTAATTATAGCTGTGTATTTGTAACGCTAACCTGTTTGAGCACTGGAAGAGTCTTGTGCGACGGACCTTGTCTATCTGTCTAGCACATATCCCAACCAGTTATTCGTCCATCTTCACAAGACTATATTCACGGCCTCAGTGACGAGTGGTAGGTAGTGCTGTGTACATGGAGGTGTTTGATGTGAATAGCCACTGCTCTAAAAGCATGCCAAAATTTGGGTCGACTGGAGTATTGGTGCTGGGATTGATATCGTCTTTGTTTGTCCTGATGCTGTCGGGTTGGGGACAATAGCTTCAAAGAGGTTGCAGCCAAGTTGACAAGTCCATGTATAATCTTTGTCGCCTCCAATAAGGAAGCGGCGTCGGATTCAGGAAAGCAGTTCCAAACTCATGGACGAGCCACAAAGAACTTTCCCAAAATGCCTCTGCGACTTTTCTCCTATGGTCGGAGAATGTTGAATAAAGTAGAAACTATCGAATTAGATATGAGATCGCAGAGCCTAATTTGGAGCCTCATTCGCAGTCGACAGAGGACCGAAAATCTCAGGGTTTCACTCGTAATCCACACGCAGGTCAGACAAGAAGGCCATCGCGAAGATGAGATAATTATGCCCGCATTAAAGTTCCTATACGACAGAAGATCTAGAGAACCTACACAGGTGATAGATATAACAATCAAGATCCCTTGTTTTGATCAAAAACAACTTAACGTTTTGGAGCGATAGAGAGAACTTAGAAGGAAGGACGATAGCGCATTACAGCAAGGAGGACAGTTTGGTCAAATTAATTATAAATAATATTTCCTACTGCGAAAGGCACAAACAGACATTTTCTCATCACAAAAAGGCTTTTTATATACGGAGCCCGATTTCACCCGTAGAGAGCACACGGCCGATAAATAGTCTCCACTCCACGCCGTAGCATCTACCCTAGGTAGCTAACATTTGAGCTTGAACAATGCCTGACCCAAGTGTGTTGTTAGTATTAGTAGTCAAGTAAGACTCACCCCAGCTGACAAAGGTTACAGTTCGATTGTTTAATGGCGAGAGCGAATTAGCTTGGCTTATTGCTGATCTTTAAGGGTTTTAAATCGTCAATGTGAGTTCTTATCAGATCTATACTAACGCACTAGATGGAGGCTTTAGTCGTGACTCTTGATTCTTTCGGATTTCAGATATGCTTGTCTTTTCGCAACAAACAGTAGCAATTACGAATTTAACTGACAAAGCAAGAGAGATTCAGTGGCCATTTCTGAATTGTCTTTTGTCCTCAAGCAGGCGTATCAATCGCAGTCTCGAAGCCGGGCTCGTTGGTCATTGGGTATTAAATCAAACGTAATGTCACCAGCGGCAGTTATACCAACCATCTGTGTCCCATCCGTATATTCCAAATAGATCTGTGGACACCATTTTCATGATACAGAAGCAAATTAAAATGCTTTGTGTGAAAGCTTAAGACAAACTTCTCAAAAGATTGTGGGAGACCTACTATTCAGTAAGAGGGTAATAGTGAATCAAAAGCTGATGGAAAGCGTTCGCGGCGAGACGGACGCAGACTGCCGCTTTGTCGGCTTTCTCAGGAAGCAAGTCATTGTTTTGCTACTATTTGTCGTGTAAGCTGGGCCGTCAACTAAAACTACACGCTGTTTTGATTTATCCCATTGTTTTGTGAGGTGCGATAAATCAAAGCAGGAAGAACGAAGACTATATGGCTTAGCTCTCGAAACGGGGTGGAAAACTCTGCTACATAAAAGCCTCGGTCATATTTTCACGCATGCGAATTAACCCCACTTTCCCTCACATTGGTTAGTTTACCTGATTCTCCCTTAACAAGGTGTTTTAAGGGGGCAGTGTACATGTAATGCGGATGTTGCGTCAGTTACTTTTGCCTGCCGCCGATATAACTTCGGCCTTAGAGGAGGCTTGAAGTGAGCTGAAAGCCCAAGCGCGATTAGGATGCCTTAATCGATCGGCTTTCGTTCTAAGGGATAATCAGCTTATTCCACTGCGACTCGGGCGTCATAATACAAACCGCCAGACCATTGTCAATTCCAATCGATAGCTTAGACCTTTAGAACTTGACTAATTCTCTTAGTTTTTTTAATTAAGCATAGTGAGTCAGTTATCGATCTACTGCCATCGCTTTTGCCTTCGAAACGCGGTTTGGCGGCGAGGCTACTGCCAGTGTGGACGAAATTCACCCACCTCGGAACTACGTGGCGGTTATAAGCAGCAGGTCAGTCCATTTTTTTACTATGCAGATAAGTTCATTTAACACCTGATGCAGTTCATAAAGGAAAAGGAGATCTGAACAGAACGAATTAAACTGGAATCCTGCATGCATTGGATTAAGCGCAGATGAGGTTATCGGATTGGTTACTCCAAAATATTTGCAATTAATAAAAGAAAATATTAACAAAATTAGTGCCAGCTAAAAGAACTGGTTGTGATATATGGAGGGCGAAAAAGGAAAGTGAAAATTACTTGGACGTAATATGTACAGCAGACTTGGCCTCTGTGAAGAAAGTGTAGGCAACACTACAGCCGTCTTTATTTATTTATTTATTGACAGGGCTGACTTATGTGGCCCCCTAAACAGGACATGAGAACAGGAACCGCCTGTCATACGGGTGACTTTGAGCCAACTTCCAGCGAAATTATGGTTAGGTTTAAGGTTAAGGCTAGGGTTAAGTTAAGGATAAGGTCTGAGGTTAAATTTAAAGTTGGCGGTAGAGAAAGTCAAGATCAAGTTTAGGGTTAAGGTAGGGGCTAGTCTTGAAGAAGGAGACACGATCGCTGGAACAAGAGCTTTATTAGCCTGACGTTTTGGATTCCTGCTCGAACCCATCATCAGAGACAACAGCAGATACGAGCAGGAATCCGAAACGTCAGGCTAATAAAACTCTTGTCCTAGCGATCGTGTCTCTTTCTTCAAGACAACTTCCTGGGACTCGTCTCTTCGCTTCTATTGGTTGGGGCTAGTATTAACGGCAAGGTTAAGGTTTAGGGCAGGTTATGGTCAAAATTAGGGCAACGGTTCAGTTTTATATTAGGCTTATTGTTGGGGTTAGGCCGCATCGACCGGGGATTTGAGCCTAGTGTAATATCCGGGTTACCTGTCGGTTTAGCTTCGTCTAGATTGGCGTCCTTAGAAGATGATTGGCGTTTATCGTCGATATGGGAGACTGTGGACGTGCTCATTTACGAATTTCCTGGCATGATGATCGTACACACTCAAACACATTGAATTCAATAGGCAATATTAAAATAGAATTGTCAACGACTAAACGTTTATTAAATAGGGATGTAAATAGGGGAACGAATCACAGGTTACTCGGTCAAGGGGGAGAGACAACAGAGGGGAAAACCAGAAGTAGCAGTGAAGCCTTCCTCCAGTCTATCCTTCCTCTGGTCGAGATGTCGGCGTTCGGTTCGTGCTCCATCATTCTTGCTTTAAAGGAACCGGGATGTCGCACAGGGAGCCGTGAACAAAAAATTAAAATAAGCCTACTTAAAAATTCTTGCCCTTTACAACTCCCCCCCCCCCTCAAGCTGTGGCCCTGATTTCAGGGCCGTTGGTTGTCGGATTATGGTTGTCATCATTTTCGACTCCGTTTGTAGATTGGGGAACTAGGTGGGGTGGGATGATAGGGAGGGAATCGTCGGTTGCGAGAGGTGTAAAGGGTTTAGGTTTATTTTAATTTTTTTGTTCACGTCTTCCTGAGCGACATACCGGTTCCTTTGAAGCAAGAGTAACGGAGCACGAACCGAACGCTCTAACTGAAGAATTACGCATGCCGACTTCTCGATCAGAGGAAGGATAGACTAGAGAAAGACTTCACTGCTACATCTGGTTTTCCCCTCTGTTGTCTCCCTCCCCCTTGATGGAGTAACCCGTGATTTGTTCCCCCCTTTATATCCCTATTTAATAAACGTTCAGTAGTTGACAATTCGATTGTAATATTGCCTGTTGAATTCCCCGTGTTTGAGTGTGTACGATCATCATGCTAGAAAACTCAGGAATGAGCACGCCTGCAGTCGCCCACATCGACCATCAACGGCAATCACCTTCTAAGGACGCCAATCTAGACGAAGCTAAACCGACAGGTAACCCGGATATTACACTAGATCACTTCAATACCGAAAACTCAAGTCAAAAGCCAAGTCCTCTGGGCCGCTGGCCCACAGAATGTCAGACTCAACCGAGAATACCTAAAGTGCAGTGGAAGTAACGTTTCACCGGTGGGCTTTTGGAAATGAACGTGACCTTGACGTCTTGTTTTAAGGTCTAGGATGCATGAACAGCCCTATTTGGAGAGAGCACTGCTTACCCCCTCAGGGAGGAAGGAGCTATAAAATTGCTTTAAACGAATTCTGGGATCACGTCATCTGCACACCGACAGTGGCTCGCAGATTTGCCACTCACGACAAAAACAATCAAACAAACAACAACTCCCGTCCTAAATCTTCCTGTCTCACCTCACGCGCTTGAAATCATCACGGTGCGCTAAAAGCCGTGGCTTAGGAGGCCGCTAACTGACGATTCCACTCGCATCACGCAGCCACCTCAGTGTGTGTTTGCGCGTTGAGCGGCTGACTGATGGACTGCGATGACTCCCTCTTAATGACACTCACGCACATATGAAATCCGAGCCGCCTACACCCTTTTGTGTGTAATCTTGATGTGTGCGTTTGGCGGCCCTTTCGTGCGTATGGCGCGCACAGACGGATTCTCTAGTCCTGTTAGTCCCTGTGCCCCTTCCCGCATCAAACACCTGACGGGGTCGAACAGCATACCGGTGTCCGGGAGTGGGAAAACAGAATAAGATGGACAGTCTCAGCGCGTATTCCTTATTTAAAAAATCAATCTGACGCACTTGAACCTATCACCGTGTGCCAAAAGCCCTGGCTTCGAAGGCTGCCAACTGACGGGATGACTCAGTTCACCTTGGAGGATGAACAGTTGCGCTGCAATGGCTCCTTTTTAATGTGGCCTTCATGACATTCCCACTCAGTTGCGATCCGAGCCACCACTTCCCTTCCCCCCCTTCTTGGTGTATAAACGAATTCACGCGCGGGCCACCGTCCCTGCCCCCATCCTCCTGTGGAGCACAAGGTGGACATCGTCCACCGTAGTTGTTACCCAGGCCCCCTATTACAGGTAGCTGAGGTTTGTTTAGTGGGGGTTTTTGTGGCGCTGCATAATCACATCTGACCCATCTGGCTTCCGTTTTACGTTTGAGGTTAGGATTAGGATACCGGCTAATGGTTTCCGATTTTCGGAATAGGGTTATGCCTTTAGGCCTAGGTTTTCGGGTTACGGTTAGGGTTTGAGTTTACGATTAGGTTTCAGTATTACGGTTAGGTTTTACAGTTATGGCTATGTCTACGGAGTACGGTTACGTTTACGGTTTCGGTTAGGGTTAGGGTTAAGGTTGTCGTTAGGGTTAACGGTTTACGTTTAAGGTTAAGGTCAGGGTTAAGGTTAGGATTAGGGTTGAGGTCGCCATCCGCTTCCCCATTCCTGGCTACCAACTGCGATCTAGCCGTCCAACTTTCGTTATCAAAACGTTCCCACGCATAAGACAAAAGTTGTCACGCCTAGGTTTTAGGATTTTCTGCCGTTTTCTATCTGTTTGCCAATTTTCGCCATTCCAGTATATTAATCAAAGCTAACCTCGAGTCCTGGTAAAGGCGAACAAATATGAAACCTGTGTTAGTTTAAGAAAGCACTGTATATCCGTTTTTTGACGTTTTCATATCGATGAGCAACCCAAGTGTCCTTTCAAGACTTCCGTTATGTTCTCGTCTGCATTTTCCCAGTCCTATTATTCTCACTGATATGTTGGTAGTTGTTCTGTCATCCAGACGACAAACAAAACTGGTGGAAAAGAACGGGTTTACTGTGTGAGTGAATGCAAGTACAACAACTTCTTCAAAGTAGTGCTTGGGGCGATATGCAAGAGGTCATGGACTCCCCAGGGTCTCGCTCACTGCACAAAAGACTACTATCAAAGGAAGGCTGATCACGATAATTCGCCACAACCCCACACCAAAACTTGTGTTCCGCCATCATGAGAACTTACTATGGACAATTACTCAACTGTTGCGCTTTCGAAAGTGGTTAATGCAATATTTCGCTAAGAAAACCCTTCGTAAATCCCACTCTCAGTAACTCCATGACACACCATAGAGAAAGGAAGAGCAGGAAATGTGAACTGCCAAACTTGGGCTGGAATACTCAGTGAAGAAAACATTCGGGTACTTTGAGCTTTCTCCGGTGGGGTTCTGTCTTCGCCCTCTGGGTGCCGAGTTCGTGGAAAGTGTGGAGTTGCATGAGTTTGCAAAGAGCGGCAGTCTCTACACTTATCGTCCTCCACTACGTCTGTCCCATTTTCTCCGGATGATGGAAGTGAGCACGATTGCTCTGAAGCTCCTGCAGTATAAAGTCCTTTTATTGCAAGACTCTCACAAGCATACACAGTACACTTCCTGCCTACCAAAGAAGTCGCCACAGCGGAGTCGAGGGTCGTCGGCTGAAGACATAAAGTTTATCACACTTCCGTAGCGGGCCGTTGGGGCAGTGGTAGTAGCAAAGTGAGCGCATTTTTAAGCGACAATTTTTTTCTGAAGCAAGTAGGTAGGTGAGGATATAAGAATTCCCCTACCGACGTGTCCATCTGATTTATCCCTGCTGGACTTTCAGCTGCAGGACCATACTGAAATAATTGTTTATTCAACAAAATCTCCTTCTTTTAGTAATCTCAATTCGGAACAACGGGTGTAATTCAAACAATACCAATGAACTAATTGTGGCTTGAATAATGCACCAACAATGTCAACGCTCGTACTGAGTCGGCGGTCGTGGCAGTAGTAATAGTAGTTGTAGTGGTGGCAGTATTAGTAGTATTAGTAGTAGTAGTAGTAGTAGTAGTAGTAGTAGTAGTAGTAGTAGTAGTAGTAGTAGTAGTAGTGACAGTGGTGGTAATGGTCATGCCACTCTGAAACCCAAACCAAAAGGAAACTTCCCCTCTCCCCCCTTTAAACTAGCCACACCGGTCAGTCCCCTATGCAGGCTATTTATTCCTTCAGGCATCCTTTGTGAACGATTTACGAACGTGCGCTTGCAGACTTTGATTGGCCTTCCTTCTCCTGCCAGAGAGTGTACGCTGGTTGTTTTCGTCCCAGGGGCGTCCTTTGGGAATATTCAAATATTTCTTCGAGAAGCAGTCTATGCCACGGGCCACCCCACCGAATACTTACGTTCATAGGCCGACAGCCGTTCGAGTGATGTGCTACGAACTACTGTCCAACCTGGATGATACCCAATTACTTATGTTTAGTGCTGTTAAAACAGTTCTTTTATGCCGTTTTGACAAGTGACATGAAAATTCCAGCCTTCAAATGACCGTTTGGTGGGCATAAGTTTGCTTTTGATAAATTATCAACAGGTCAATACCTTTATATGCTAAAAATGTCGAGTATGCATGTGAGTAATAAGAGAAATTCATTAAAACTTGTCTTTTCACATAAGCGGGGTGTGGGAATATTTGGGGGGGGGGGGTTATAAGAGGCAGTCGGTTATGAGGCAGTGAGAGTTAGGTGACACCGTGTCGGAGGGAGAGAGAGCTATGGCGTGGAGAATCGCATGCAGTTAACCGATAGTTAGCCATGGTAAATGTGGAGCTCGCACGAGGTTCTTCCCTGAGCACAAGACGGACTTGCGTAACTTAAAAAGCAACCGATTTGCGTTGATAGCAGACGCTGATCCAACGGCCTGAGTTAGTTCGGTGAGCTCTTATCAAGTACACAGAAGGGTTTGTTATCGTCCAAACGGTACCCAGAATCAACAATATGGACAACAATGGCGCTGCATATGTTCCTATTTTCGCCTTTTCTCAGTCAGGCTGGAAGACGTCCTCGTTGTTCTGGATGGGCGCCTTCTCATGTGATGAATATAACCTGTTCTACGAAGGCAAGTGAAGGATTTTATGCGATCTGAGGTGGTTCGAGCCGACAACATCTCCTAAGCTTCGCGTTAAACAGGATTGGTTGAGAATAATACCCAAACGCTCGCTGTCAAGAAAATTCGTAAAGCAGCTTGATCATGGCACCTTTTCAGGAGCTCACCCGACGCGTCCCTTGAAAAGGGACTTTGATGAACAGGCTCTTCTTTTCTGTCGTCAGTTTGATGGGTTTTGCTGGTCTATCGGCAATACTCTTCGCAATAAACCTGTCAGGAAACCCGTCCTCATGAAGCAGGTTCTGGATATGAAGCTGTCAGGCTATTTGTTAAAATCAAATTACGACAGTGTGTCATGTGTGCCTCAAGGGGACATTATGCTTGCATCACGGAAGACCTCCAACGCGCTCGTGGTGGTCTGAGCCAAAAACGTTTGGGCCATCTCCATCATTACTACCACACGGCGACAGATGTCTTACAGTCTCCAGCCCGATGGGTTGTTCCAAAACAGGGCGTTTACGAAAAATGAATGCTGAAACACATCTTCAACAAAGTGTGTCTTAGATATCTTTTAGGTGACTTTCAGTTAACTCAGGTTACCCGCACTTAGACGTGTGTGTCATATGCTCTGGTTGACTAAGAGTTGAGAATGCGTAATCCTTGTTTAAAAACTGTTCTTCTTAGTAGGCGAGGGAAGACTAAGCTTACGCCAACAGCTGACGATGTGTCACGTCCTACCTACTCTGTCACTACATCGTAAACAATCAACTGCAGTTGTGTCATTCAGTTTGAAAGCCTAATATGGTCAGCGATCCAGTTTACCAGCGACCTGTAGTGACGTGAAAAAGCGTTTTGTTTTAATGCGCCAAGAAACTTTAACAACTCTCGATGTCAATTTATCGTCACGCTGCATTCTTGCGGCTACTATGTTCTTTCTAATTCTACTCGCGATAGGCCGGTTTATTACCTACGTTGGTGACCCCAACGCGATACGAACACACAGACCTTTGGTTGAAACGCCTATCAGCATTAAAAAGTATTGTCTTGCGTGCCAACAGGTCCGAATTCATTTTTAACTTGAAGCAGTAGGTTGATGTAGCATTGCTAACAGTCAGCAGAAGAGATTTTTAGATTTGGAAAGGTCATATAAATAGGTACTGGCAAACGAATCAAAGTACATTTTCGAGCACAGGTGTGGTAATAAATCTAAACTGAACTCGAACCTCAGTGTAGTTGATGCAACAGGGCTGATTTAACCTAGAACTTGGTGTGCAGCCGATTGTTCGAGAACGAACCTCCCAGAGCGGATGAGCGAAACACTCATGTGAAGCATTGTGGTGGTCTACAAGTGAACGTGAAACGGCTGCATTCGCACTCATCTCTGTCACTTTCGGGTTAAACGGCTTGGTACACGTCAGCAGTTGTTGCCGCGTGAAATTAAACCTGTGAATTGTTCACTCAGTTGCTCTATCGAGCAAACTCTGGTTTCTAAGTCTGTTCAGAAAAGCCCTAGTGTAGAATAGTAACTTTAAGGACAGTGGTGGATAAGGATGGCATTTTAAAGAAGACGAAAGCACGATCACTGGGGCAGTAGATTTATTGGCCTTAGCTTTCGAACTCGAACTGGAGTTCATCATCAGAGACTTCTAGAGTGCAGAAACGTGTGAACATTTATATCGTTGTTCCATGCGGGCGAGGAGCTACGTCCGTGGCTAGGTCTGGTTTGTGCCGCCTGGTCCACGATGGGTCCCCGGCGTGGTGACGCCGTTTGTACTTCGCAACGATGTGAGCTGCGTCATCTGGCTTCGTGGGCGGAGTGCGTGATAACACACAGGCAAATCGATGTGTCTATTGATAGAGTTGGTGTCCGACACCCACGCCTCCAACAGTTCTCGCCCCGCCTTGTTGTCGGCTCGCGCCAATATCCGCGTGTTGGCGAAGTCGAACTCATGGCCTTCCGCCAGCGTGTGAGTGGCGGCTTGAGATAGTGGGTCACCTCTTTGGACGGCCCGTTTGTGCTCAAGTATTCGTGAACTGAGACGTCGTCCTGTTTGACCTGTGTAGTGGCAAGGACAGTTTTGGCACGGGATTTGATAGACTACGCCCGACTGCTCACCTGAGTCCAGCCGACTCTTCATTTTCATTCTACTGCTACGCATGGTAGCCGCCGGATAATGAGCGATGCCCACGCCGTTCCAGTGATCGTGCCTTCGTCTTCTTTTAAACAAGAACCTGGGATGCGCATATTCTCTTCCATTCTTAAGGATGGAATTTGTTAATATATTGCTTCGCCAGTCGAAGTCCCTCGGTCCTCCATCCTCCGAGATACCAGACTTCTGAAACTCCCAACCTCTCAAAGCCCGGTTTTTTTATCGCCTAGAACGCTGCGTAGCGTGTAACTAGCAGAACATCAGACTCAGTTTTAAAAGACCATCTCAGCGAATAAGAGTCAACCCAGTGGCTTTTAACGTCACCCTTCGAGTCCGAGGTCGTCGTGTAGAATACATGACAGCGGAATAACATAAACCATCGACACGCAACCGCACTTTTGGCATACAGCGATTAGGGACATCGCATCGTTGGCAGGAGTTTAGATAATGCCCTCTCCCCTGATCTGCTTTAAACGCCAGCCTTCATGTGTGATTAACTAGCACAGGTATGCGTGTTAGGCACATAAGGGTCTCAAGACAAGCACCTCAGAAAGCGGAAAACAAACAAATGAGGGTTCTACAACGTCAGTAAATGCAAATCCAAGTGGCCTGTAAGGGAGGGATAGACTATCTGATTGACCGATGGTGGCGCCAACTACTTAACCGAACGAGGTCATTGCATCCCCATGGATTGGTCTGGCGCCCAACCCTTACCTGTTGGCCCATGGACTGTTGAGTACTACAACCCTACCTCGGCAATCTCTTCGATTGACTGGGGGTATGGATTCGAAGAGCAAGTGTCTCTCTCTCTCCTACTCTGATGTACTTGTACGTTAAGCCTATTTCGGTCACGGGAGAGAAACCAGTCATTTCGTGGCGTGCATAGACACCGGTCTTATGTCAAGTCATCCACAGCACCGAGTTTCCGCCTCAATCATTTTGATTTATTTGTGCCAGTGGATCACGGCAGTACTCTTAGAAAAGGGTGGGGCTGGCACTGCACACAATTATCCCGCTCACGCCCATGAAGCTCACAGTACGACATTCTTGCTCTGTTTAACAAACACAACACCTCTCTAGTCTTGTGTCTCAGACTACTTGTGATAGCTTTCTTGCTGTAATTGCGGTGGGATTCGGTTGCCGTACCGGTGCCTAAGCAGACCTAAGTAGGGAGGCACTGCCTGTCGAGAAGCGGGGAAATGCCTGTTCACCCAGTTGCCGTCTACCTGGCAGAAGGTATTGGGGGTCCTCAGCGAAGGTTAGCTGCGAAGTCGACAAACTCCGGCGGCGGTGCGCGACCAGGATGAGGAAGGCTATAGTCCGTCAATCCGACTGCCCAATAAGATGTCGGAGAGTCTTCTATGACATGTCGAACAGAAAGCACCGTCGAATAAACGCCTCTTGCTATCTCTATCTTTCGACCTAAATGTTCATTCAAAGGATAAGGTGACTGCTAATGAATCAACACTTCTATAAAACTCCTAAATCCCTTTAATAAACAATTTTTTTCTATTATGAACTTAGCAACTTTGTCTTCCATTTCACTGCCGTGAGTCTCAACGCGCCGGTACAGCACCCTTACGCAACTGCGTTTGTGATTGATCAGGTGGTTGCTATTGAAGTTCAGTATTTGTGTCGTATATATCGCCTTCCTGAACACTTTGGTTTTCAGGCCACCACAATCTTTGCGGCAGACGAGGACATCCAGAAAGGCCAGCTGATTGTTTTCCTCCTCCTCCATCGTAAATTGAATGTCCGAGAAGACGGCGTTGAGATGTTCTTTGAGTGTCAGCACCTGATCCCGTTCGATGACGACGAAGGTGTTATCCACATACCGAGCACAGAATTTCGGTCTGCGTTGTCGGAAAACCAGCAACTCTAGTCGTTGTAGGACCACCTCGACTATGAGTCCCGAAATCGGCGAACACATTGGCGTTCCCCTCACCTGCTCGTAGATTGTTCCGTCGAACGTAAAGTACGTCTTGAGACAAAACTTCAGGGGCTGGATGATTTGGGCGTGTCCGAGGCGATTCTCCGTTTCGTCGTATTTCTCTCGTAGGAGTAGTTCGATGGTCTCGACTGCCAGATCCTGTGGGATAGAAGTAAAAAGGGACGTGACATCAAAGGAAACCAATGACATCGCTTGGCAGGAGACTTATTCCTTTAAGTTTCTCCAAGAATTGCGTTGACGAGGTGACTGTGGTGTTCGAATCGGAGGTCAGAAACTTGAGACGTTGGAACAGCGACTTTGCCAGTCTGTAGTTTGGAGTGCCCTTTAGTGATACGATAGGCCGGAGAGGAGCGTCCTCCTTGTGTACTTTTAGGAGACCGTAGAATCGGGCTAGGGCCGTTTCTTGTGCTCTTGCCATGCGTCGGTCGATTGTCGATATGGTACCTGAATTCTCCATTGATCAGTCACAAACGCAGTTGCGTAAGGGTGCTATACCGGCGCGTTGAAACTCACGACAGTGAAATGGAAAACAAAGTTGCTGAATTAAAATATCTTCGAAGGGTAATGAGAGCCAATGGTTACCCACGCAACTTTGTCAACCAGTGCATACGAAAACGACACCAGAGACCAAATCCAAACGGTCCCTAATTTTGCGGGTTCTTCCGTACGTGAAGAACGTCTCGGAAGCCGTCAGTCTTCTTCTCGCTCCATTTGGAGTTGGGGTTGCACACAGGCCAGAAGTAACCTTTAGGCGCCAAGTCATGAGGCCAAAAGACCCGCTGCTACGACAGGAAACGTCTGGAGTCGTTTAACGGATCCGGTGCAGTTGCAGACAAAGCATCTACGTCGGAGAAACTGGGAGATTACTCCGTACGCGACTTGCCGAGCACGCAGCAGCAGTGAGGCGGGGAGACGTTAACTCTCAGGTGGCGGCACACTCGACGGGACCCGGCCATATTTTCCATTTTCAAGAGGCTGATATCCTCGCAAGGGGTGACAACCGCGTGAGCCGCGAGCTGCTCGAGTCATGGTTCTCAGACCCGCAATCCATCAACAGGCGCAATGACCTCCCGGTGCCATATTCCGTGCTGAGATTTTCCCTGCGCAGGGGAATCAGTCACGTGGGGAGGGTGCGGGCGAGCAATTATCCCAGTGACAGTGAGCCAATTTGCCGAGCAATCGTCACACCAGCATCCAACACGGATGGCGAAATCACGGCCATTAACGTCTCGGACTCGGACTGACAAGTCACCACCGCACCAAGTACGATCCCAGCGGTGATTGCGAGAGCTATTAATTACAGTGCGCATATGGTTCCACGGCAGCCACGTGCTATAAATACTGTACTCCTTGTGCCACCATCACCTTTATCTGCGACTGTATCTGATGATGGATTCGAGTGAGAATCCGAAAAATCAGGCAAATAAATTTCTTGTTCCAGTGATCGCATCTTCGTCTTCTGAACTGCTACCCGGATCTCGCCCATTCGCTTCTATCAGCACACTCGGAGGCCTCCAAATTTCCCTGCGAGGGTTCAACCACCACTTAGACAACGTATTGCTGAAAGGAAACGTTCTGCGAGGAAATAAGCATTGACTGCCAGGGGCTTCCTCCTGACTGTCTCCAATCCCTTCGCCGCACTGCAGTAGACAAAATCGCCTATGAAGCCTCTTCAGAGGTGAATAACTGTCTTTAAAAGAGCATATCATCTGACATACCGCCCAGAGTGCACTGAGCCACACCGGGCGTCGTAATGGCAAAAATTGGATTTCTGATGCAAAAATTTCTTTGATTAATGGTGCATAGATGGCGATTGGTAGACGCGGCGCCATTGACCGAAATATGCAGATACAGAACTTGACTCCGGACGACTGACAGGGGACACAGTATTCTTGTCATGACCAAACTTCTGGTAGATAACACGTTCTCGACTTAGAACGGCAAGCTGATGAATGTGTCCATCGTCTGCCCATCCTCAAGATTAGGCTGTAAGTCCAACTACGTCATGTGTTGCTTTCCAATTTGGTTCTTATCTTTTCGTATGTTTTTTCAAGTAAGTTAGCTCAAATTTTCAGATGGGTCTATCCCGCTTGTCTGGATCCTGCAGCGTTACCTTCTTCAGCCCTTAATCATGTGTTTTCTTCGCGATTTGATAAAAATTAGGCATATCATCTTTTCCAATCCGCCCCATTTTCGCGCCATCTATTTCAAAGTAAGTTCCATAAAAACCGGAAGGACTAATCAATTCACTTATTTCTCCGGTTGGCTGGGTTAAGCGATCCGAAGCGGTCAACTGAAAAAGAAAAAGGACTCACAGGAAGAGATTTATTGGACTGCTGACGTTTCGGAGAGCTTAATCGGCTCACGATCGTCAAAGCGTTAAATGCAAATGGCTTTCCGGACTACCCTGTTTTGGGTGTTTAGTCCGAGGAATCATTGGCACGACTCACGGACTAAACACTCATGGGGTTTTTCATGCGTTGCTAAATATTTTTGTCCAATTACTTAAAATTGCGAGTTGCTGTTGCACGAGTTTAATTGTTATCTGCCATTTTTCATTAGAAAAAGTCAGTCAGACTATTTTTATCCTAACAGATTGCAATATTTTTTTACCTGAAAAAGTGCAGTTTAAAAACCTGCCGCCATCTCATACAGAGTATCTCTCGGAATAAACACCCAAAAGAGGGCAGTCGACCTTGAGTTAATCTACTCTTTTTTCTTTCGCTGTTTTGGACCTTTGACGGTGGTTGGTGGGCTTGAAAACTGCGTGCGTTATGAATCATCGTCTCGGTGTCGGGTAGCTGAGTCTCCGCGGCGGTTGTTCGTTCTGTTGGCACTTCAGTTCACCCGTCGGATGAGTTCGTCGTCAGCCCGCGTCTGCTCGGTCTTCTTAAGTTCTGCGTGGTCATCTTGTCCTGATCGTTGCGTATTTAATAACCCAGGACGTTATAGGCCGCAGGAAGGTCAAAATGGCTGTTGGTGTAGTCACAAGGCGAATACCGCACTCCGACAGCAATCCCCCTCTGTCGCGCAAATTCAGCCGTATTCACACCCTTTTCAAGAGAGTCGCAACACATTGCAGCACGCCGGCAGAGAAAAGGGCTGAGAAAGTATGTCTTCAGAACCTCTTCAGAGCCAATGGGTGTCCAAGGCACTTTATCTAGCAAGGCAGGCGCCAAGATAACAGACCACGATCAAAGGGGCAGCATTCCGAAGTCTGTAGGTCCATTTCCCACATAAAGGAGCCTCTGGGGCGGTTTGTCGACCGTTACACTCCGCCAGAGTAGGCATAGTCAATCGACTCCAGGGAATGGGCAACGCATCCAGAATTCGACCAGTAAACTGCTCGACCGTTTTTAAATCTCGTTGTAGGATAATATCAGCTTAAAAGACATAAGAAACACCGGCAGCAGAAAAGAGCATTTGGATGACTCGTTTTAAAGTTAACAGATCATTTTTGAGCAAAGTAAGAAAAATGATAGGAGAACAGTAAAAAATAAGAGGATGAATGCAGGCATCTATGAATCGCAAGAGCAAGGGGTGAAGTCTGTGGTATGAACGTAAACGACGAATGTAATAAAGAAGTTTACGAACTTTAGTGAAAAGGGATTCGATATGGAGGGTAAATGGTAGCTTTGATGACAAAGTAACGTCATGGTACTTGAAAGGGGATATCTCGTTGGGAAGGATGTCCAGGCATTCAAAACTAGGAGAGGGCCGCAGTCGTAAAATACACTGAAATAATTTTTGATTGTTCATTAAGAGACCATTTTCCTATGACCATACTGAGGCATGGTCAGGGCCATCCTTCGGAGACTGGAGATATGTCCGACTTTTGAGAGGATGACCAACAACCACATTATCAGCATTTGGGGATCTTAGTTCATCAGATTGGAGAGAAAAGAGGTGAGAGAATAAAATGGAACCTTGGGGAACTCCATCGAAAGGCATCTCTACCTTCCTGTTGTCTATAAGGTCCTGCGTTATTTCATATGATAGTTCGACCGTCATGACCGACGATGTCCCCTGTGCTCTCCGCGGAAGGGTGAGAGCAGGCACGATGACTTGCGCGTGAGTCCTTTTATAGTGGTAGTAGGCCTGCGCTGCATATACCGCACTCACTCCGTCCCCACCTGGACCCGGTATCAAGACGTAGTCAAGAAGACCGGAGGCGGAAGAGGGTGCAGGTTGTTGGCACGGCCGGACCCACACCCAGGCGTATCACCACACCTGGTTCACAAAAAAAAACAATTGACCAGGATTTTAACCAGCAACAACAACAATAGGAGACGACAGCGGTTCCATATGACGCGGTAGGAGTCGGCAACTGGGCCTGCCACCACACCCAGAATGTTGGAATCGATTACGGGTGCACATTCCAGATAACGCCAGCCAGAATCCAATGTGGCCTCTGTGTTGGTCCAGTACATCTACCGTGTGGGCCGTTTTAGGGGGCGCGATTAAATGCCCAAAGACCGGGACGAGACGTTCACACAGTAGTTAATAAAAGCTCATCGGACACAACCTGACGACAAACTCACCCGGCTGGTGAGCGAAAGAGAGTCACCAGACCAAACAACTTCTCGGTTACACAGGGAACCTCAGTCACCCTGAACCGTCAATACATCCCTTCCATCACTAATTATTTCGTCCTTTGGTCACCTAATCCGGGCTTGCCCGCCAATCCTTACCGGTCGGAACTGTGACATGTCAGTGCAGTTGACTCCAATACGCCGGGGAGAAGGTTGCATTTACCGTCGCGTACCCTGCTCTAAACGGACTTTTTATGGTTTTCAGTCAGTCAAGACACTCTAAGCAGACTTCCTGCCTTTAACCGATATTTTTTAAAGACTCTTCTCACAAAATTTATAAATACTTGAAATTGACTTGGACTTGCGAACAGAAGAGTATGCGAACCAACTGCAACGCACGCACCTATATAGAGTCCTGTGACACGGAACCGTAGCTGTCACCGAACAACCACACTCGGAATTAGCAAAACGCTATTTCGTATCGCTCCAGCTGTTGCCAGGCAGCATAGACTTCAGAAAATTAGTCGGTATGGATAGGTTGTGAAACCCTACTAGGTTCAATGTATATAAATGACTATTGTATTTATTTTGGTGGGCCTTGTTTAGTTTATCAGTTCATAGCTACAGGAAGTCACCCTTTAAATATTACCCAGCACA